AATTAAAATAATTTAGGGTTCTGATTATCTTGGTTGTGGCAATTTTGTTCCTCATTATTTACAAGTAAACTGTTCTCTTGTTAATCAAGAGATTTTTGTTATTGAAAATAATTTGAAAGTTATTAAGAATAACAACGATATAGTAGACACAAAAGGAACCACCCTTAGAGAAAATTTTGCAAATCTGTAACATAGAAGGTTAGGCCATATTTCTAAAGGTAGACTAATAGATTAGTTAAAAACAAAACATTGCCAGACTTAAAACTATTTTGATTTACAAGATCGCGTTCAGTGGTATAAAGGCGAGCTAAATTTAAACATAGAACCTATTCCAATTGAGGAATCTATAAGCCAAAATCTAGGGTCGGATCATATGCATTTGCTAAACGAGACTAGACTATGTCAAAAGGTAATAAATTGTCCAAAATTTCTAAAAAAGGGGGGGGGGGGAGGAGGGAATTTAGTTGATGAAATAAATTACAAGTCTTATGCACAATTAATAGGAAGTCTAATGTATGCACAATTATGTACCTGATCTGACAACGTATGATATAGGAATCTTCTCCAGTTTTCAACAAAACCCAACTAAAAATCACTACAGGTAAGAAAGTACTTCGGTGCTTGCAGAAAACTAAAGCTCACATGATAGTCTATAGACAAGTTAAAAACTTGGAACTTGTGGGCTACACAAATTCAGATTTTACAGATAAATATCCAAACTCAGATATATCTACCTTTGGCTATATTTTATGCTTATTAGAGAGGCTATAACATAAATAAATAAAAAAGAAATCCCTGATTGCAACTTCACTATGGAAGCAAAATTCATAGCCATTTAAGAAGGTGAGGGCAATTGGATCAAGAACTTGATTTACAGTTATGTCTTAGACTTTATAGTTTTAAGCCCTCTAAAGATGTTTTGTGATTAATGAAACTGCAATCTTTTTCAATGGTAAAAACGCACTGGGGATATGATAATCTTAACTGAACTCGATGGTTGAGATTTGTGGGAGTCGAGATTAGTATAGCCAGTTATTTTGTAATTCTCCATTTTTCGTTGTAATTTTCTTTAACACATTTTAGTAAAAGGAGGAATTCAAGTATATAAGTCATGTTATCTTTTTTACAAATAAAAATTTATGTTGTTATCTGTATCAAACAAGTGAATCACCGTACTTAAGCAATAACTGCGGACTACATAAGCAAAATTTGGTTCAGTAGTGTTAAGAACTTTTGCTTGTAAGTTTTAGAAACTTTTTCTAAAACATTTGATGGACTCTGAGCTACTTATTTATGCTAATGCAAGTAGATATAATTTTCTGCATAATCAAACTAGTTTGTCAAACTGGTGTAGATTATGATTCCTATATATGGTATCTATTTTGGCCAAGTTTGAATGAATTCTCAACTGTTATAATTCTCACTGCGCCCTTTCATTTGATACATGTAATGCTTATGGTTCTCTTGTCCTTACAGATTATGTTAAGTCTAGTGCGAGAATGTTGGAAATAAATTGGACTTTATCATTATCTGTAATAAATATTAAGGGACAAGTGATTAAACATTTAAGAGATTATATCAGTTATTATCTAGTTACATATTTGGAGATATATATATACATACATATATATATATATATATATACATACATATATATATACATACATATATATATATATATATTTACTGATATGAGTAGGATAATTCATTAAGTTAATTACATGGTTAACATTGAAATAAGTGTATATCTTCTATTATTTGAAAATCAAACTTATAGATAAACTAAGGGTCGTTTACCAAACAATTACCCGGTAAGCGCTTACCGGTTAATTTAACACTATCATTTATTTACCGGATAAAATTTTAGTCTACCAAAACAGTATCGTATGCAACAATTTACCCGGTAAGTGCTTACCGTGGTAAGAGTCGTCGCTTTCACTTACCGGATAAAACTCTTGGTCCTTGTCTCCCTCTTACCGGGTAAGATTCTTGATCCTTACCATATTCATCCGGTAAGGTAAAATGACTTGGTGTTCACTTACCCGAATAAGCGTTTGGTAAACGACCCCTAAGACTCTTTATGGGATGGATCTCTAGTTTCCATGGTCTACAATTAAAGGAGATCAAATCCTTATTGCCTAGACGAATCTGCGTTTCGTTTAGGCCCATTCTAAAGCAAATCGTATAGAGCTTTAGAAAACTTCGATCTACACGCAATAATGACTGCTTCCGCCTCAATGAAATGAGAAATCAGTCTCTCAATTGATAGCTTATCGGATTACTGATCATGAAAAGAAAGAATTCTGAACTCGAAGACAGTATTTGAACCAACTATAGAATCAGATAAAATTAATCTGTTACAAAACAAACCAATTTAAATATTTTTAATTACAAGTTGTGTAATGTATTTAACAAATAATCCAAAAAAATGTGTTAAGATACTTTTTCTATTTTAAAATATGATTAAAAAATAGAAATCCAATATTTGAAGATTTTATATGTTTGTGGGTGAGGTGTCATCCGGACCCAAATAGACTCCGTCGGTGATCGTTTAGAAGCTGCCACGAAAACCATTCGATCCTCCACCGTCTTTCTCGCTGATTTTACTCGCAATTCTTTTGTCATTCATGCATAGCAAGGTAAAAGAGGAATGTTAAGAGACTATTCATATATGAATTATCATTTTCTATTTATATATGAATTATTAAATAAATATAGGTAAATTTATATGAATCAAAAGGGTACTTGTGTAATGTAACGAGATAAATTTTGACTTTAATATTTAGTTTTCATTCTTTGTCTCTATCGATGTAATATAATTTTATGTGATTTTGAGAAAACGGAAATAACATTATTTTTGAATGAAATATAAATTTTAAAAATAAATTCGATATTAATATCAAATTAATTATTTAATAGTTCTCATTTTTTTGTTGTAACTTTTTTAATTCAACTTTTTATTATAATTTAATTTAGATTTAATAACAAAGTAATTTACTTTTGGTTTATTTTTTTTATAAAGATAATAATTAAACATTCTGTTATAACTCAATGATTATTTTAATTATATTTTTGATTTTCTATATTTAAAATGAATGTTTGTATGCATTTGATTATGTTTATCAGCAGTTAGTTACACGAATTTCAAAATGGAGTTTTAATTAGTTGTACTTACGTAAAATTACTTGTAATCTTAAATTTTAAATAATATGTATTAATAAACAGTAATTTATACATAAAATTGATTTTTAAGAGTTTTTGTCAAATGATTTATAATATATAATAGATAATTTGTGATGTTAGTTTATATATGAGTTTTAAATATAATTTTTTAGATTTTTTTAATGAATTCATATATTAACCTTGTTTTTTTTATCTTCTCATAATGTATTATTTGAGTTCTAAATTAAGTTAAATTAGAGTTGATTTATCATTATATAAACAAATTAAAGTTAATTTTATAAAAATAAAAACTAGTGGAAAATGTTTAATTTTGATGTCATTTGTTTTTATCTATACTATATTATAAAATATTGGAAAGAGTCTAAAAAAAGCCAATGGACTTTAGTGTTTGGAATGATTAAGTCATTGGACAATTTTTTGAAACAAATAAATCCTTGGACATTCCAAAACATGTTAAATAACTCCTTGGACTTTCTAAAACCTGTTAAATACATTCTTATGACCTATACAACTGGTTAATGTGATAAAATAATGAAAAAAATTCGAAAAAAACCCAATGAACATTCATATTTTAAACGATTAAGTCCCTAAACATTTTTTGAACCAAAAAATATTTAGATCTATAAAATCAGACATATATAATTAAAAAGTACTTACATTTACTAAAAAATTAATTACATTTAAAAAAGATTTTTTAATAAAATTTATTTTAATTAAAATTAATATTTTGTCAATGATTTTTCAAACTAAAAAAATATTTAAAAATGATTAATGATTAAATTTATTTTAATTAAAATTAATATTTTTGTCAGTGATTTTCCAAACTAAATTTTTTTTAAAAAGAATTACTGATTAAATTTATTTTAATTAAAAATAAAATATATCACGTATGTAATTCTTTAAATTAAAAAAAAGATTTAAAAAGATTAGTTGTAAAATTTATTTTAGTTAAAAAATAAAATTTATTTTTATTTTTAATTAAAATAAATTTCACATAATCATTTTAAACTTTTTTTTTTAATTTGAAAAATCATATATAGAATATATTTTATTTTTATTAAAAATGAATATATCCAGCGGAAAGAATTTATCAGTATGGTTAGAAAAAAAACGATTGGAAACTATTGAAAATATATTTGAAGTAATTAAGCTGAAAACATAAGATAAATGTTTGGTTTATATAATGACATATGTTGAAATTAGATTATGAAGGAAATGAAATGAAATTTAATCTTGTCTGACCACATGTTTGCTTAATAGGAATTGAAATGAAATCAGTCAAAAGAATTTGAATATGTCTGTTAGGTTCACTGAATAAAATAGGGGTGGTGAGGGGGAGGCAATAGTGGTGTCGATGGTAGTGGTGATTTTGGAGCTGATAGTGGTGGTGGTGACTGGTGAAGGTGACGACAATGGGGGGATTAAAGGCGACAACGATGCTAAAGATGGAGGAGACAACAGTCATGCGGTGGTGATAACAATCACCTTCTAGTCATTTATTTTCAAGGTTTATCAAAATAGACCTAGGTTCATAAAAAGTAATTATCAACTTATTATAAGTCAGAGAGTTTAACATCTTCAAAAACTTCTTATTATCGATTTGACATCGGTATAAATTATTTATCCAAATACAAAAAAATATTTATTACCGATGTGACACTGAAATAAGTCAATAATTTATTTTCATAAGATTTCCCCAATTTTTCCATTCATATACGTACACTCATTGTACCAAACCTTCCCTCTCAGTCTCGTTATATATAACTCCCATCACCACCTCATTCTCTCCATCCCTGTCTCCTTCAACCTGCTTACAAATGGCGGCACTCTCCACCATCGATTCCAACTCTGAAATGAACAAACTCACTTCTGAAATATTCTCCATTCTCGAAAACAATTTCTTGTTCGGCTACGATAATCCCTTGGAACAAAAGAAATCCGCCACCGGAAAAGTCAGAATTCTTTCAATCGACGGCGGTGGCGCCACCGACGGTGTCTTAGCAGCCAAGGCAATTCTTCATCTAGAGTCCTCCCTCCGCCGTAAGTCTGGAAGCACAAATGCTCACATTGCAGATTTTTTCGATGTCGCTGCGGGATCTGGTATCGGTGGCGTCTTGGCCGCTTTACTGTTCACTAGAGGAAAAGACGGTGGGCCGTTGTTCACCGCCGACGAGGCCGTTAAGTTTGTGACGGAGAATGGCCGGAAACTTTGTCGTTCTTCCAAACAAGGCGTTTTACGGCGAATTCTCCGATCAACTGGAAACGTGTTCGACCAAACGTTTGGGGATTTGACGTTGAAAGACACACTTAAAGCGGTTTTGATCCCCTGCTACGATCTTACCACCGGTGCTCCTTTTGTGTTTTCTCGTGCCGATGCGATGGAGATGGACGGCTGTGATTTCAAGCTGAGCGATGTTTGTGCCGCCACGACGGCCGTTCGTGGACCGACCAAAACGTTTTCAGTTGATCGAAGAACGAAGATCGCAGCTGTCGGTGGTGAGGTTGCGATGAACAATCCGACGGCGGCGGCAATCACTCATGTGCTCTACAATAAGCAGGAGTTCCCATTCTGTAACGGCGTCGACGACTTGCTTGTGGTGTCATTAGGTAACGGAGAGCCATTATCCGTGATCTCCGGCAACCAAGCACCGTCGCGAACGGCGTTGGTTAAGATCGTCGGTGAAGCAGTTTCCGACACGGTAAGCATTTATGCATTAAATACTTTTAGAGTAAATTACATGTTTAGTCCCTGTTGTTTGTTAAAAATTACAGATGTTTTTTAAATTTAAAACTGGGAAAAGTGTTATTTTGACAAACCATAAGGACCAAATTTGTAATTTACTCTTGAAAGAATTGTTTTTCTGAAAATAAAGTAATTAATTAACTCATTTAATTCAATAATTCAGAGATTAAACTGTAGAAATGATCAATTGGCATGGAAAAGGGTAGATTTGTCATTTCACAAGCATTGCATGCATCATTAGACATACTCTGCAATAATTGAGAAAGTACAAATAGTATAATTAAATCTGCGGGGACATGGCAACGTTAATGGTCCAGAGTATATGGTATCAACCCAATTTTGTACCAAAAAACGTTGCTTTTCCATAATTATTTCGTTTATGTGACCCAATTCATTATGATTATGATCTTAGATGATAAATATTGTACGATACTTTCAGGTTGATCAAGCTGTGTCGATGGCGTTCGGACAATCTCGAACAACTCGTTACGTACGTATCCAAGCAAACAAAGGGTTGTTAGGCGTTGAAAAATCTAGAAACGACGTAAACATGTCGGTGTTGGCAGAGGAAATGTTGAAACAACAAAACGTGGAATCCGTATTGTTCCAAGGAAAAAAGTGTAACAGCACGAACTTAGAAAAGTTGGAGCATTTCGCTGGTGAAATCGTCAAAGAAAAGGAGAGGCGAAAAACGGACATGCTACCCGTAGTTTTACTAAGCCAGACTACAACATCATCTTCTGCACGAACATCGTCGGCCACAACATTGTCCACCATATCGTCAAGTTAAAATGATTGGGTTTGTTACTTTTTGAAGCTACCGCCGACACTACCAATGAAAACGGTGTCTGTGCTGGGATACGAATCCGACTTATATAGATTGTTTTCCTCTTTACTTTGTGTTCGGAGTTTCATGTATAGTTATTTGATAGAAGTATTAACAACACTAAAGAGAGCGGTACCTGTGAAGGTCTCGGAACAAGGTCTCAGGTTCAAATACAGCCGTGCACGTGTTGTAGGATATTGTCGTTTACCGATCATGGAATCGGTACAATGAGAACAGCCTGAAGATTTGTGAGAACCMTTTTACCACCATATTAAATAGAGGGCTTGGATTTATCAGCTCGCATAGCGGGTTGGATATAGAGGGCTTGTGATTTTTGCCCCTTCTAAGCATATAATATTAGAGTGAAGTTTGTGATTTTGTTTTGGATTGGAAAGGTTATGATCTTTGTTTGGATCATTATATGGTTTTCTAGATGTAAATCTTGGTCTTGTAACATTGATGTGATTATGAATTTTATTTAATATGATATATGAAAAGTGAAAATGTGATTATAAATTATATATTGAATCAGTATATTTGGGTTAAAGTTAAAGTTGATTACTAACAATCTGAAGTCTGAACCAGTCTCAAAAGTTTGTGCGTTATTTCAGTTTTGACCAAAACACAACTTAAGTCTACTTTGTTAACTTTTCTTGTCGGTTTTAAGTAGGGGTGCTAATGGGTTGGGTTGATCGGTTTGAAGACATTTGAACAACCCAACTCAATGTTTACGGTTTGAAAAATCTTAACCCAACTCAACCCAAACGAAAGTGCAACCCAACCCAACCCAAACCGTACGGGTTGGTCGGTTGATACTTTGGTACATAAAAATATTTTTCTAACCTTGAACATGTTATTTTTCTACTCATAATTTATTTTTCATCATCAACCTTTTGATATAACTTATCCATACTTCTTACGTATATCATATTCAGTTAATTTTCTCTATTTACGTATATATGTTTACAGTTACTGAACATATATATGAATGAGTTATATAGAGATGTAAATAGATTGAAAAGATGTGTATATGAAGAGCGTACGTGATAGTGTAATTGTCTAATGTATATACAAATAGAAATTCAATAATCATATTAAATTCAAGAAATAAAATGATATCGGGTTCATCGGGTTGGGTTGAGTTCAAATAATAGTAACCCAATATCAACTCAATACCTACGGTTTGAAAATTTTATAACTCGATTAGACATCAGGTTGCTTCGGGTTGAGTTATTTCGCGTTGTGTTGATCGGGTTGGTCGGGTTTTAGAGCACCCCCAAAGTAAGATTTTCGTTAAATGGCACGGATGAGTTATAGTGAGACATATTCAGGAAGGACGGAACTCATGCGACTTTTTTGAAAGTATATAATATGTATACGACCATATATATGCACACTTGTCACTTTCGCTACTAGGAAAAGCCGAAAAGCTATTTCACCGATGGACATCATTGGTAGAATTTTCTGCTAAATCACTAGTGGATTAACGACAGATCTGAAAATTTTAACTTTTTAACCTGGTTTGTTAACTTCCGTTACAAGTACGTCAGGTGGTCTGCAACGAATTTTAATTACTTTTTTTTATTAACCTGAATATCCAACTCTCTATGCGAGCCGACTAATCACAGGGCGACCACCTGCTTTGCAGGTAGTCACCGCATTTGAACCTCCGTGGCCACAAGGGGATTTTTGTTCTTTCTTGGATTTGAACCTATTACCTCTAGGCACTTTTGACATTTGAAACCAAACTCAAACCAATCAGACACTCCCTTGTGATTAATTACTCTTTTCTTTCTAGTATGATAAATCACCGACATAAATCAATTAATTTTTAAAAGTCTCTTGGAAATGAGCCACTAATTTTAAAGGAAGTTCTTTTTAAATCTACTGGCGAAAATTAATTAATTAAATACTCATTATAATTTGTCGGCAATATGCCATTGATAATTAAATTTTTAAAATTTATAATCCACCACTACTTTTAAAAGACCGTTTACTAAACGTTTATCTAATAAATGCTTACTGGGTAATTTTTTGTACCGGATGAACATGGCAAAAGTCGAAAATCTTACCCAGTAAGAACAATGATAAAGATGAAGAGTCTTACTCGGTAAGTGAATGTGATGACTCTTACCCAGATAAGCGCTTACGGGATAAATTGTTGCATACGATATCATTTTGAGGTACTATAATCTTACCCGGTAAAATAAATTACAATGTTAATTCGTAACAGTAAGAGCTTACCGGGTAAGCATTTAGGTAAACGGCTCCTAAAAGATATTTTTTATATTGTCAAATGTAAGAAAATAATGAGCGAAAATTAATAAATTAATTATTGCATATATGTCACTTATTTTAGAAGTTTTTTTCATTATTGTTTTTGTTGATCTTGGAATGGGATAACTTACATCAGATATGTTCGTAGAAGGAGGTTGATTACAAACATAATAAATTTTCATTTTTAATTCTATATTTGGTATTAAAATAAGAATTACAGATTTGTTGTGAAAGATAGAAAGGTAAGACCTGATCCTAAATAATCTGATTGGTGATAAATTTGCTAACAATTGAAAGAGTGAAAGAAGAAGAAACTCTTTTAGATCTGAAGTATTTTAGATAGTCCTTCATATTGTAACATTGATTTTTCCTAAGAAATTATCACTAAGAAGTTATTTCAAAATGGGTGATCAGTTGTAACATATGACAAAGATAACTTTTTATAGCCACCATTGTATTAAATGTTACTTACTAACTTTAATGCCTGTCTTTATCTGATTTGCTGATCCATGCATTTTAACATTTGAAGTTGATGTAGACACTTGTTAACCCAACCCATCCTTTTGTATGCAGAGGGAACAGTAACGAACGTATGGTATTATTAAAATAGTATTTTAGAATTTATTTTGTCTGATATGCTAAAAATGTTACCATACAATAATGGGAGTTGGTAGAGTTCTATGAGCCACATTTCTTGGATAAGTTTTCCCTCCATAATCTGGCTCGTCAGAAGTAGTATCTGTCAGACTACTATTGAACTTTATCTTGTATTGATCTTCTTTTGGCTAGATGACAGTCCAATACGCTCTGGTGACTATCATAACTTTGCTTCAACTAGTCCTAGATTTTATTGAAGGATTTTCGTTCTTGGATCAACACAAATAGTTACAAGATGTTTACAAAGAAAAATCCTATAATATCTATTCTGAAATATACATTATAGATCAGATTCCATTTTAGATTATTTATGAAGTAAGAACATCATATGCTAAAATAACTTAGAATGTAATTTGTGGGTTCTTGAAAATCAAGATTGAACGACCATTTACTGAATTAATGAATTCTTCCATTCGGATGGAGAACTATCAAGTCCGAGATTTGATCCCAACATACTATCTAAGCAACATATTCGAAGTTGACTAAAATATGAAACTTTGAACCAATAAATTCCTTTATAACTTTGGGTTCGGATATTTTACACCCACAAATTATAGACCTCTTAATATGTTTACGTTTTCATCAAAGGGTATTTAAGTTGATAATCGATGAGGGTTTTCATGTAGACTCATTGTTGAAAAGATTGGGATCAGAACTGGGCTCAAAGGATGCAAAAAACGACGAAAATGCGCAAAAAAGGGGTTGATGTGACTTGAATCGCCGTCCAAGTTGCGCGGGCTTACTGTTTGGGAAACTATGTTCTCGGGCGACTTTCCATGCGACTTATGTTGCGGGATTATGTTGATCCTCTGATCTGCACAAAACCTGACTTTTCAAAGGATGTCTTCATTTTGCCTTATCTTCTTCATCTCTCAACCGTTTTGAGGCGATTTTGGCGGTGGTGGTTTCGAATTCTAAAGCTCTTCAAAGAGAGATCAAAGGGGGTTAAAGTAGTTGGTGATTAAGAGCTCCTAATGGTCAAAGGTAAGTCCTAGATCTCTATTTGACCAAGGTTTTGTCCATTTTTGCATCCTCAACCCTCATTTCTTATTTGGTGGTATATTTTTTGGGATTGCGAGTAGGTGAAGTGTTCTTGAGAGCTTTGCATCATAGATCTAAAAGTATTGCTTGGGGATCTAAAATCTTCTTCCTATGGAAGCTAGAGATGGTTTTTGGAATCTAGGTTTAACCTAACATAGCAAGGTGAGTTCAAGCAGCTTTGTGAAGTCTTTGTACATGCCAAAAATGTGTATTTTAAAGTCTTAAAAATGTTTACTTGATGTTTATTAAATGTGTTGATTATTTGATTAGATTTGCATCTTTGGTATACTTGAGTTATGAAATCCCTAGAAAATGTTTATGGGTGTTTTAAGACACCAAATGATATTTATCTCATAAAGATATTTATTGGGTTTGGAAGACTCGAGATAAAGTATTATTTTAACTCTTTAAAAGTGTATTTTGAGTTAAAGATTGATTTTATTTGGCGTTGTTAAACAAATCAAAGTGTTTATTGACTTTCTTTTGGGTCGAGTATGTTTTAGGGACTTTACCCAAATTGTGAACTTTTGACAGTGGCCTATTAGCCCTTTTGGTCATAAACGTATAAATATTTGATAAAAGTCTTCTTTAGCTTTGTGGAGATGTTGGAAATGCAAATCATATGATTTTGGGCCTTTTGCCATCATACTTCAATATAAATATTGATTATGGACATATTCATGTTATAGGTGCCATGTATTTGTTAAGTGTTGGGAAATATGCTTTTTTTGGCTTACGTAGTTTATACTGGCTTTATTAAAATAGTCAAGTGTTATATGAGGTGTTTTGGCTTGATTTTAACTCAAAGGAGTTTTGGGGGACATTTGTCTGATTTTAATAGCTCATTGTGGAGTTTTAAATATATAATGTATATATTGCATATTTGTTGGATATTACAGTGTGTATATATATATATATATATATATATATATTAATAATGTGTAAATTATATGTATATTATATATACTAGAAGCGTACTCGCGCAATGCAGCGAGATACATCGTGATTTTAATATTTCATTTTATTATTTATCTCAGTTGATGTTATAATATGGCTTTATGTGATTTTGAGAAAGAGATGATGTTTTTATTTTTGAATAAAATATATGTTTGAAGATATCACAAAA